GTCCAGGTTTAATATTGCTTCTTTCTCTTCCAACAATGTTAACTGCACTTAGAGGTGGCAAAAATCAACCCGACTCGTCAATCGGATCCTAACTCAACTCGTAAAAACGAGTTAGAGTTTACATATCTCAACCCGTAACATGTAGATAACCCATAATATCAACTTGTATGGGTCACGGGTCAAGTTAGGGTCAACCCGCGAGTTGACAGGTTGACTCGTTGACTCGTTTACTTTATTTATTATTATTATTTTTAAAAATATTATATTTATTATTCTTAATTAATTTTTTTTATTGATAACTCTCTCTATTAATTCATATTCTTCAACCTCATTTTCATTACTTAAATGGTTTTGAACTGGGTTGACGGGTTGACCCATTTGTTTTATTTTTTATTATTTTTTTTAAATATTATACTTATTATTCTTAATTAATTTTTTTTATTGATAACTCTCTCTATTAATTCATATTCTTCAACCTCATTTTCATTACTTAAATGGTTTTGAACTTATTTTGAGTGTTTACTCATCATTATTTCTTCTTCTTTCTCTAGAAATTATGTGGGTTTGATTTAATTACTAAGTACTATAGATTATGTGGGTTTGATCTAATTACTAAGTATTATGAATTAAATGATAATATAGCTAAAAATATTAAATATGTGATGTTAGGATATAAACATAATCATTTAGTGAAAAATGTTTTTGGAAGAGCAATTTCATCATTAAAAAAAGGGGCTTAAACTCCTTAATAATGTTTCAAGATGATTATAAAATTAAAATTGTATTTTTCAAGAAATTTATATATTTTAAGTTTAATATTGTTAATCAACTTACTGTTATTTATAACTTTATATTTTTTTAATTTAAATATTTATAGTGGAGATAATAAAGTATTTAGTGTTAATGAGTTACGATATTTTAATTAGATTTAAATATATAAAATTTTATTTGTATATAATAAAATTAATAAAAATATTTAAAAAAAATAAAGATAAGGTTAACCCGCGTGTTAACCC